AGGGCCATAAATTTGACTCAGCAGGGGAATAGAATGGATACCGGTTAATGGCCTCCAACAGGGGAGGTGGACACAGGAGGACAGAATCACTATGAGTCTAAGCTGCCTAGTGAGACCCTATATTAAAAAAAAAATTCATTTTTGGCTCTTAGGGAATTTATTAAAAAAAGAATTTATTCTTCTGGGCATGGTGGCACATGCCTGTGATCCCAGCACTCAGGCAAGAGTCTGAGTTCAAAGGCACCCTGAACTACTAGAGCAACCCCGCCTCAAAAGGAAAAAAAAAAAATTCAAAACCAGCCTGCTACATAGTGATACTCCATCTCAAAACGCAAACTTATAAAAACAAATTTTAACCCTAAGTTTTGAAGTACGTGTACTATCCATGTGATTGCAGAGGATTTAAGTAGGCTAGTGCTGGAGCTGCCTCCCACGTAGGTTAACCCGCCCACAAGCCGGATGTGGCGGTGCACACCTCGAAGCCCAGCACTTGGTCAGCTGAGGCAGGACGGTTTCGGTGATTTGAAGATCAACCTGGCTTACATAGCAAGACCCTGTTTCAAAACACAAAATGCAATAACAGTAGCAGCAGCAGACAGCAACAACAACACGTACCTGGTGCACAAAGCTGATCAGGAACACAGCCCTGGCCTTGGGACTCTGCGAGCTCAATGCTCTTGAATGTCACCTAAAACTAGGCCATCTGTTTCAAAGTATGTGATGCTTTCACAGCGAGTGACTACTTCCGCCGCATCCTGAGGGGAAGAGCTGCTGTCACACTGCAGAAGATGGTAGTCTGGGCGGGCGGAAGACAGGACAGAACACAGAAGACAGGAGAGCCCCGAGAAGTACAGGAAGGCAGGAGTGGTGCACTCGGCCACACCAGGGTATCCCTTCTGCAGTAAGCACAGCTCACGTCTCTCCCTTTGTAGCGCAGGATGCCAGCCACAGGACAATGAGCTCCACCGCTTTTGGGTGCCCAAGTCCTCCCAGCTGAGGGAACACTGTGGCAGTGAGATGCGAGTCAGGCTTGCAGCAGGGAGCACGGCACCCCGAGAATGCATGTGTTGTGGGGAAGGAGTGGAGTCTAGGCTGCCCACAGCACTTTCTTTCCGTTCCCCTGTCCCAACTGTCTCAGCACATCAGCAAAGCTGTCAGGGGAAGAATGCATATCCTAAAGCTGGGATAGTAAATAACTGTGTGGGTGCATGGTGACCCAGGAGCCTTTAGGCTTCCCAGCAGGAAAGCAGTACAAAAAGGCCTCCCCACCTCACCTTCTGATAAGGAATAAAAAGCATGACAAAGTTCTGCCTCCTGAGTTCTGCTTTCAAACTGCCGTGTGGGGGTGGTGTTAGTCACCTTTCCATTTCTGGGACAAGATAAATACCTCATGTCCTGGTTACTTTTCTTTCATTGCTGGGACAAAATATCTGACAGCCAAGTTAAAGGCAGAAAAGTTTATTTGGCTCACAGGTTGTGGAGGTTGCAGTTCGTAATCAGCTGCCTCCACAGCAGAGCAGCCTGGCAGAGGATAGC